CCCCGCCGGTGTCTGCGCGGGCGGCGCCGGGACCGCGGGGAGGGGAGAGGGCGGCGGCTGTGCTGCAGGACGTGCCGGGGCTTTTTTCCGTGCGCCTTTGGGCTCGGTGCCTTTGCGGGTGTGCGGCGGCGGGTCGGGCTCTGGCGGTACCAGCGGAGCCAGCGTCCAGGGCGGCGGTGACGTCCGCGTGCGTCTGCTGCCCCCTTGTGGCGGCGCCCGGCCCCGCAGCCGCCGCCCGGCGCTGACTGCTGACTGCCCCCCGCAGGCTTGGCAGAATCTCCGGGTCACCGAACAGCACTTTAACTTCTTGAGTGAAATCCCTCCCACTTTTCGGATCCTCTTTCTGCACCACTCACGGGACAGGTGAGGCCTTCTCTCTCCTGTTCTCGGGCTTGCTACCCAAGCTTCTGCCCGCTAAGGTCCCTGTGGACACAGCACGGGGGCTGCCAAGCCGAGGGACAGACAGGCCGGCGGGGGCTGCCCGCTGAGGGGAGCTGAGGGGCGACCGTCCCTCTGCCACGATGACCAGGCTGGCCCGTACGGCCCGGGGAGGGGAGAGGGCACGGTGCCACCTCCCGCCAGCACGTGGCCCTGGTCTGAAGTTCACTGCTTAAGTGGCGCAGAACCCGCTGGTCTGGGGAGAAGCTGGTGTCCCAGCCTCTGGCAGCACCGCACACAGACCCCCCAGCGGCCTGTTTTAACCCTGTGTCTGACTTGGCTGGGGCCCCGCAGGGAGGAGGCTCCTGTTCCCAGCAGGGTGGGTATGTGGCACAGAGTCGGCCTCGTTGGGGCTCCTCTGGGACCCCCGGAGCTGGGCTTTGACCCCACCCTACGTCCTGCCAACAGGACCCATCTGTACGGCGCTGCCTACGAGAAACCCAAGTTCATCCCTGCAGCCAAAGGCAAAGTGCTCCAGGTCGGGGGTGAGTTCTGCCGGAGCGCCACCCTCGGGGTGCGTGCAGGGGTGCGCCCACCGGCACCAAGGCCGAGCATGCGCATGCATTCGCACCCGTGGTCCCCTCAGCCCCGGGGGGCGTTCTGCGAAGCCACGTGTGGGGACAGCGGCTGCGTCTGTGTCTGCAGGCTCCTGCAAGGTGGCTCGGATGGCCGTGAGCCCAGCTGCCTTCTCCGCCCTGTTGGCCAGTGCCCAGCAGTTCCGGGAGCACGCCCAGGCCGAGGCACACAGTGAGGACACGGCCCTGAGCCCAGGCTCGGTGAGGCCCCGAGCCCGGTGCCAGGGCTGCTCCCACCCCACGGGGCAGGGTGGGGAGGCCTGGGTGAGGACCACGCCCCAGGCGCTGCTGGACCCCGGGTCAGGCTCCCCGACCAGGCACGGGGCCAATCCTTGAGCCAAGTCTGTTGCAGACGCCTCCGTGACGCCGGCAGAGGAGTCGGGGGTGGGGGGCTGCTGGCTGCTGAGCTGGGCCTGTCCTGGGGGGTCGCCTGCAGGGTCTCACCCCTCTTCCCCTTTGACGCCTCTGACTGCGGCTGTCTTTGGGGCGAGAAGGAGTCAGAAGGCGCGCCCCTGAGAGGGGAAGAACACGCTGTGCAGAGGCTCGCGGAGGTCGTGAAGCCCATGGAGGAGTATCTGAGGCCACTGTTCCCGCTGCTCAGCTGCCCCCCGGAAGCCAGGTACCCATCGAGGGCTGATTCCTGAGGAGCTCAGGGACAGGGTGCGGAGAGCGGACGCCGTCTGGATTGCCCGAGCCCTCGAGGTGCAGGGTCGTGTTGTCTCTCTGTCCCCACAGGTGCACCCAGGTGTGCACAGGTACAGGGAACCATGGGCATTGTGACACCCAGGGCTGGGGTGGGCGGGCTGGAGGGCGCGGCCTGCAAGCACTCCCTGAGTCCCAGGGCCAGTTGAGCGACTGGCTGTGGGCGTGTGAAAGTCAGAGCTGTTTCCTTCGTGGAAACTCGCATCTCTGAGGCCACAGCGCCGTAGGCTTGGTGGGCTTCTCTCTGCGCTGAATCGGACCGTTCGATTAAACCGGAGACGTGCACAGGCTCTTTGAGAACAGAAGCCCGGGCTCTGTCCTCCTGCCACCGGGAGGAAGTCTGGCCCTACTAGAAACCTCTTCTGGGGGCGTCCCCGCCGTACGGGCCCCTGCCGCCCTCTGAGCCGCTGGCCTGGGTGTGAGAAGGAGGGGAGAGCACGGTGAAGTGCCTGGCCCCTTGGGTCTGTGTTTGGTGGGAGAGAAGGTAGAGGGGTTGGGCAGGTGAACCTCCCTGATTGGCCAGCAGGTCAGAGCATCCTGAATCCTGTGTTGTCCTGCCTGTTGTCCCTGCACCCATCTCAGGAGACCGGTCCCCAACAGCGGGCCGGGAGAGTCTTATGGCCCTCACTGCCCTGGTGGGAACAGCCTGAGGAGATGCTGTCCCTGTTCTCAGTGATTTTCATGGAGTTTTTAAAACCTGAATCTCTGCCTTTGCCTTTCAGAGCACCGATTCCCACAGTTGTTGCGGATTTGGGAAAATGCAAGGGCAAAGACAAGGAGAGGAAAGAGTCCCCGCCGCAGGGTGAGCGGGGCCCCAGGTCCGCGTCTGTGGGATGGAGGCCGGCAGAGCCGCGCTCCCTGTGGCTGCAGCGGGGCCGCCGGGGGCAGCCTTCCCGGAAGGTTCGCGCCACCCCACCGCTGCCCACGCGACCGCAGATGCCCCTGCCCTGCCAGATGCCAGGGCAAAAACCACGGTGACGTCGCCGTCACCCTCCTGAGCACATCAGACGGCAGGAGGGCAGATGGGCCTCCCGGGTCAGCAGTCTGCTGCTTTCCTACGTGGAAGATGAAATGCTTTTGTTTTGCTCCCCGCCACCTGCCCCGTGGCTGAGCCACCCCAGTGCCCGAGGTCCCAGGCCGCGCTGAGTGTGTGCAGCTGCCAGGAACCCAGTGACCACTTGTGTGACCTGAGCTTCTGCCCTAAAAGTTCCCAGATGAAAACCTGCTGGATTTTAAGTAACTTGACTTTGCAAACACATCAATTCCGTTGACATGTCTGGTGGCCTCAGCCTTTGCACCAGTTTCCCGACGGCTGGAGAAGCCGTGGTGTCACGGGAGCGCCACTACCCTTCCTCGAATGGAGCTGTCCCCAGAGGCCGTGGCCCCTGCCTGGACAGCCCTTGGGGAGGGGGATTAGTGCAGACGTTCGTCCCTTGAAGGGGCTCCCTGGTGAGGCCGCGGAGCCTGGGCGGCCCTCAGAACCTCAGGGGACCTGACGTCCCCATGGCCTGGGCTCTGTCCAGGTCCTGGCTGTGACCCGGCCGCACCGTCAAAACCAGCATGTACCCCCAAGATGGCGCTGGTGTGCCTGCGAGCTGTGCCCAGCTCAGACTCCTTTCCGTGTCTCCTGCCGGGCGGGGGCTGCACAGCAGCCAGACGGCCTCAGTGGTGAGGGGCAGAGCTTGGCCCTCAGGTGTCTGCTGCTGCCTTGGTAGCCGCTGGCGTTCCCGCCCACAGCGCAGCCCGAGGTCGCAGACAACGTCATCCTGATCGCTGACAGGCCCCTTCTGGAGCTGCCATTAGAAGGTCTCTCTGTGCTCGATGAAGGGATGGTCTCCTCCGTGTCACGAGAGTTTTCTCTCCAGATGCTGTGGAACCGCCTGCATAGAAAAGAGACAGGTAAGAGCTACACTGATACTTGACTTTAAAATGCAAATATTTAAGTGACTTTCACGATAAGAGAATGTAACTCTTGTCAAAAAATAGTTATGAGATGTTATCATACTTCTCGAGGCCCTGGTTCATTCAGAGAACACCTACTATGTGCCGGTGCTCTGTTAGGTGCCAGACGTGCCCTGAACAGGAAATTTAACTTTGTTCTTGGCCTCACATACCTCTGTTTCAAAGGAGGGGACTGGTGGTAACCAACCAACTACACAGTTAATCATCAATCAGGTGGTGAGAGGCAATGAGGGAGAGGACAAGGGGGACCTGGCTTGGCCTGGGGGTGGCTGGGGACTCAGGCATGATCATGTTCTGTGACATGGATGTGCCTGGGGTGTGAAAGTTCTCCAGGATGTACACTGGTGCTGTGTGCAGTTTTCTGCATGCGTGTTGCACTATGATAAATATCAAATTACATTAAAAGTAGATAGATTGGACTTTTGTTTTCATCCCAGATGAGGTGACAGGGACCAAATTTGCCCTTCCAGCTGGAACAGCAAAAACTCAGCCAAAAATACATGAAACAGGGACTTCCTTGGCGGTCCAGTTGTTAAGGCTTCACCTTCCAATGCAGGGAGTGCAGGTTCGATCCCTGGTCGGGGAGCTAATATTGAATTGTAACAAATTCAATAAATACTTTAAAAATGGTCCACATCAATCAATCAGTCAATCAATAATTTGAAAAATATATGAAACAGAGGTTTTCAGATATTGGAGAACAGGCAGTGGGGGACAGCAATCCCCAAGAGAGAGAAACAAGCAGGTGAGCCCCAGCTTTCTGCCTGGAGAGAGTCTACAGGCTGTAGCACATGGTGGCGGGGGGACCAGGCAGAGCCTGACGGTCTCCCCGAGGTGAGGAGACGAGGGACTGGGCACCCAAGGCGGTCCTGGGAGGAGAGACCTGCAGAGGGTCCCCTTCAGTCTTCTGCTGAGAGCCGGTCAGTGCAGGCGTGTGTGGAGACTACAGCCAGAATGGAACATCTTATAATGCACAGGTATCAGGTACAGGAACCAGAGGGCATTGCCTGTCTGCACTAGGGAGACTGGCTTTAGTCCCACCAACAGAACTTAAAAATAGGCCTCAAGGGATCAAACTATTTCCAGGTAACTTAACTGCATCTCAAAATAAAGCTCAAGATGTATAGAGTTATTTTAAAAATCCAGGACCCAACAAGGAAAAATTCAAAATGTCTGACGTCCAATCAAAAATCACCTGGCATGCAAAGACCCGTGGTTAAGAGAAAAGCCAATCGAAAGCAGACCCAGAGGTGACACAGGTGATAGTTCCTGTAACTATAATCCACGTGTTCCAGGAGGTGGTAAGCAAAGACACGGAAGATGTAAAACGGACCAGAACTGAACTTCTGCTGAGGAGGGACATGCCCTGGGCAGCATTAATGCAACTCGACATGACAGGAGAAGAAACTAGTGAGCCTGAAGAAAGTAACAGCAGGAAAAAACCGGAAAAAAAACAAAAACAAGAACAAAAACAGAGCACCAAGTGAGCTGTTGGACAAAGTGAAGCTGCCGAACCTGCCTGTAACTGGAGTCTTTGCAGGGGGAACATTTGAGTTAATAATGGCCAATTTTTCCCAATTTTGATGAAAACTGTAATCCTGCAGACCCAAGAAGTTCAATGAATCCCAAACAAAAAATAAAACCATACGAGGGACCGTTGTAGTCGGAGATTAAAACCAGTGACAGGGTATTTTACAAGCAGCCAAAGAAAAAAGACACATCATGTATCCAGAAACAAATACAAGAGAGTTAGCAGGCTTCTCGGCTGAAACAATGCAAGCAGTGAAGAACGTCGTTAAATTATTAAAGAAAATATCTATCAATGCAGATATTTTTGAAACTAACTCTCAAAAACAATGGTGAAATACTTTTTCAGAAATAGGTGAGCTGAAGGAATTCTTCCCCAGCAGGCCTGCTTACCCCACAAGAAATGCTGCAGAGTGTTCTCCAGGCAGGAAAAAAAAAGGATGGGAACCTGTATCTGCACAAAGAAATAAACACCAGAAACTGGAATTAGGTGGGTCAATATTTAAAACTTTTTTCTTAAGTTAAAATCTCTTCAAAAGATTTTGACAGGGGCTTCCCTGGTGGCGCAGTGGTTGAGAGTCCGCCTGCCGATCAGGGGACGCAGGTTCGAGCCCTGGTCAGGAGGATCCCACATGCCGTGGAGCAACTGGGCCCGTGAGCCACAACTACTGAGTCTGCGCGTCTGGAGCCTGTGCTCCGCAAGAAGAGGCCGCGACAGCGAGAGGCCCGCGCACCGCGATGAAGAGTGGCCCCCGCTCGCCGCAACTAGAGAAAACGAAGCGCAGAAACGAAGACCCAACACAGCAAAAATAAATAAGCTAATTAAAAAAAAAGATTTTGACAGCTTGGAGTGAAAAATAATAGCAACGTGTCGTGGGGTTCTACAGCATTATGTAAATGTAACTTGTGGGGCAGCAAAGGCTGGTGGGGGGTGGAGAATGGAGGCTCGGGGTACTGGACCAGCACAGCCACTGAAAACAGAAACAAAGAGGTATAGCTAGTACACAACGAGGAAGTCGAAATGGAATCATAAAAAAAAATACGGTTAATCAGAAAAAGGCAGAAAAAAGAAGGGACATGGAACAAAGAACAGACAGGACAAATAGAAAACAAACAGCAAGATGGTGTGTTTCCACCCAACCACATCAGTAATCACAGTCTCCGTACAAGGTCAAAACACCCCAGTTAAAAGGTAAAGATCACCTTTGGGAATATGGAAACGCAAGGTCCAAAACATGCTTCTTTAAGGAAATCAGCTTAAATAAAAGGACGCTAATGGGCCAGATATAAAGGACGGGAGAGAGAACAGGCCTTGCGCCCCCAAGAGGCCACGGGCTGGGCTCACCAGGAGCTGCGGGCGGGGCCTCGGGCTCAAGCCCCGCCGCTCTGCACCCCCTGCTGCTGGCGAGCCCGGCCTTTCCACATTTTATGGGCCATTTGATGTCCTCACTTGGGAAAATCCGTCCTGGTCTTTGGCCAGTTTTCCTCTTGGGTTCTCTGCCTTTTGTTCGTGTAAAGTTTCTGATCATTTTATGAACTACAGATGTCCTCCCAGTCTGCAGCTGGTCTTTTCACTCCTTTACGTGGTACCTCTTGGTGAACAAAATATTTGAACATAGTCCAATGTATCCATCTTCTCTTAACAGCTGGTGCTTTTGGGGTCTTTTTAAAAAATATATTTTCTTACCTGAAGATCATGAAGGTTCTATGATGTCTTCTAAATGTGTCTCTTTTTTTGTCCTTCACGTCTTTACGTACCTTCCATCCGAAATCGGTTTTCCACACAGTGTGAGATAAGGGGCAGGTCTCTCTTTCCCACGTGAGTCCCCCGCTGTGCGCACCCCATTTACTGAAAGGGCCTTCCTGTCCCCGCCGCTCTGCGCCGCCAGCGTTGTCTGGAAGAGCAGAGCACCCCCTGGTGGGGTTATAGCAGAATAGCGGCCCCAAAGGCGCCCACGCCCTGACCCCGGGCCCAAGAAGAGGTGCCCTGATGTGACAAAGGGCCTCTGCAGATGTGATTCAGTGAAAGGTCCTGAGATGGGGACACCATCCTGATTGTCTGGGTGGCCCAGTGTCATCGCCAGGGTCCTGAAAAGAGGGAGGCGGGAGGGTGCGGAGGTCGCAGAAGGGGCTCGTGGCGCCTCTGGAGGCGGAAAAGGGAAACAGCCTCACTCACACCTGGATTTTAATCCAGTGGGACCACTTTCGACTCCTGCCTCCAGAGCTGTAAGGTAATAAATTGGTAGTGTTTTAAGCCCCAACATTTGTGGTAATTTGTTACAGCAGCAACCAAACCCCAATACAAACTCTCACCATAAAGTAACAAAAATACTGCATAAATGTGAGTGAAGTCTTTTCAATGCATTACGGAGTGGGGATAAAAAGAAGGATTCTGCAAGTCCCAGAGTGAAGTGTTCTCAGAGCCTTGAACCCTTCAGGCTGGAGGAATGCCCTTTGAGTGTTAAATATTCACGGCAAACCTTTAAGGATAATCACGAAAGAGCATAACTGGTGTATAAATTCCAAACCAATAAAGAGGGAAACTGAATAAGAAAAACAAGTGAACCAACCCCTCAGTCGAGTTACAAAGAGCCAGGGGTGGAGACGCACACACGGAGCAGGGAGGATGGAGAACCCACGGGCAAAAGGTGCTGTGGCCCATCCATTAGATCAGGAACCGAACAAGTGAGTGCACCACACCTGCTGACTAAAGACACAGTAAACAAGAGCGTGTCAGTAGGATGCCGGCCACGTGAGACTCTCCTGACCAGAAAGGAGGCACAAAAGCCAGAAAGCAGAAGAATGGAAAGAGAGGTGCCGGGCGGGCGAGCCACCAAAAGGCCCTCCATCTCACGGTCTGCCAGAGCCGACTTTACAGCCATGGGCGTCAGTAGGGCAGGGTCATCACACAGTGATAATGGTGAAGTTCGTGGGAGGCTCAAAGACCCTCAAATACGGGAAGCAGCAAGTAACAAGCACCTGGGGCGAGGCTGGTGGGCTACTCCCGCGATGGGGGAGATTCCCGCACGCCTCCACGACTGAAAGGTCAGACAAGCAGAAGGAGTACACACAGGGAGAACTGGGGCAACACACTTAACGGACTTGGCTTAATGGACACATGGGCCCTGTGTCTAAAAATTAGAGACTCACGTCCTTTTCAGGTACACATGAAACTATCACAGAAACTGGCTGAGGCCACATGTGATTAGGTTAGAGACCAATTCCCAAAAGACGGATTTTTAAAATTCCCATACATTTGGAAATTTTAAAACACTGACTTCTAAAAACTCATGGGACTCAGAAGAAGCAATCATAGAAATGCCAAAGACTGGCTGGATGTTACCACAGCAGAGTCTAGAAGGATCCTTTAGCTTTAAATGCTTAAAGGATCATGAACAGACCCCAACAAAATAGGAAGCAAAGACAAAAATTAGTTATTTGGGGAAAAATAACCTCATAAAATAGACACATTTGGGTGAGAATGATCCAGAAAAAAGCAGACAAGGCACAAATAAACAATATGAGAAATACAAGAGACACCAACTCTAAAGAGCATCAGAGAGTTAAGAGAATAAGAGAATATCATGAACAACTTTTTGACAGTATATTCAAAACTACTCGGAGACTCAAGAAGGAAAGAAAACCCGGAGGCCTCATAGCGAAGAAAGGGCGGCCAGTACGTTTACATTTCCCCACAAAAAATATTGCTTTTACCATTTTTCTGTTGAACTCTACCAAAATTTCAAGAAACCGTTCATGTCAGTCTATACATGTCTCCCCAGGTAGAAGAAAAAAAAAGCCATCCTTCTGCTGGCCAGTCCAGACCCTGACACCCAAACTTCTCAAGAGTAGCAAAGAAAGAAAGAAACATGTAACATTTCATCACCCAGAGTCTGACCTTAAAAACTTACAGGTATCACAGAGGAACAGATTAAAGGGAAATAGAACTTATAAACATCCAAGATGATGCAGGAAAAAAAGCATTTGATAAAATGCATGCATTCGGGACTTCCCCGGTGGCGCAGTGGTTGAGAGTCCGCCTGCCGATGCAGGGGACACGGGTTCCTGCCCCCGTGCGGGGAGAAAGGGAAATAGAACTTATAAACATCCAAGATGATGCAGGAAAAAAAGCATTTGATAAAATGCATGCATTCGGGACTTCCCCGGTGGCGCAGTGGTTGAGAGTCCGCCTGCCGATGCAGGGGACACGGGTTCGTGCCCCGGTCCGGGAAGATCCCACATGCTGCGGAGCAGCTGGGCCCGTGAGCCGTGGCCGCTGAGCCTGCGCGTCCGGAGCCTGTGCTCCGCCAACGGGAGAGGCCACAACAGTGAGAGGCCTGCGTACCGCAAAAAAAAAAAAAAAATGCATGCATCCGTAACAGAAATTCTTAGCAAACCAGGAGTTCTTCTCATCCTGGTGGAGAAAGCCATCCAAATCCAGGGCAAGCTGCTTCCCAGTGGTGCCCCCATAAAGCTGGGACATGGCAGAGAGGCCCACATCAGCGCTTACATCTCCGAGGCGGCCGGACAGGAATGAAGGAAACTGGCATTATTTTCGGTTACCTTCACCAGAACGGGAGCGCAGCGGGGGCAGGTGTAAATCCTCCTGCAAGAGGGAGAGGGGCCAGCAGGGCCCAGCCCTCTGCCACTGGGCCAGCTCAGCAGGCGCACCATTAGGTGCCCAGCGTGGTGTGTGATTGGGCAGCCGCATGGGCCCGGGAACCTCTGGCAGCCGTTCCTCTCTTGAGGTCTCCTGGCCCGGCCCTTTCCCAACCCTGTGAGCCTTTACCTTTGAGAGATTACTGCCATTTCAACTTTACAAAAATGGAAATCAACTGTTCACACCACTTCTTGTTTTTTTCATTGAGGTGAGATTCACGTAATATAAAATTAACCATTTTCAAGTGAACAATTTAGTGGCATTTAATGCATTCAAACATCGTGTACCACGGCCTCTGTCTAGTTCCAGGACATTACCACTTCTTGTTATTGTCTCAACAGAAGGGAATGTGAAAAAGGAGAGCAGAGGTAAAGATCACAGGAGAAGCATAGCAAAGAAAGGAGCAAAGGTAGGTGGTCGAGGACCTGCTGAGGCGGAGAGCCGGGCGGGGCCCGAGGTCTGGCCCTGCCCCCAGGACGCATCCCCAAGGACCCCTGCCTGTCTTTGCAGCGCATCGTGTCCCGGATCATCCCCCCCCACTGCATCGGGGTCGACGCGGACAACTTCAGATGTATCCTTTGCTGCTGCTTCTGCCCCAGACAGCGAGCGTGTGGTCCTGTTTCTCCTTAACCAAGGCCCAGTCGTTGTGGACCCCTACGAGGAGGCCCGAGGCCCAGGTGAGCCCTCACGCCCACGCACAAACCATACACCGACCACAGCACTCGGAGCATCGTGGACCGGGTGCCTCGGCCTCTGCTGCCACCCGGCCCTCCGTCACCTCCTGCTACACTGACGGTGGGCGGGAGGGGGACACTGGTGTGCTCCGAGACCCCGCCCTCACCGTCTGCAGCCAGTCAGGGCGACGGCTGTCTGACATGGGCCCGAGGCGGCGCCGTGCCCCACTCCGGGCCTGGGGCTGTGGCTGAGGGCTGCCTCTGTGGCTCCCAGACAGGATTCCTCAGCTCCTCTTTTTGCTGAGCTGGTGTTTTCATATCTCCACAAAGGAGGGAAGGAGTACTAAGATTTCCACTCCCCGGGGCCCCCGTCTGTGAGGGCCCGATGCCCAGGCCGCCCTGCCACGCCAAGGGCTGCCGAGGGCACCGGGACCACCCGTGCCCACACGCGCGGTTCTCCTAAGTTTTGTCACCATCCGATTCTGGCTGCAGAAATGCTGACTCCTGTCTCCGTGACCCGGGAAATTTTGGAAAGATTCCGAGACACGTTCACTGCGAGATGGGCGGGGCATCTGGGGAATAAGCAGTTTCCCAGGTTGGCATCTGGGTTCCTGGGACACCGTCCTGCGGTGCGCCAGCCCGAGGGGCCCTCCGCATGCGGCCCCTTCCCCCCTCCCCGTCCCACCGAGGCTCCCTCCTGCCCTGACCCCCACTTCTGTCCTGTCAGACCCTTCCCTCTGGTGCACGGAGGCGCCTAGATGCCCAGGTCCTGGATGCGGACGTGGGCCCCCGCGGTGTGTGCCCCCCTGCCCAAGGGCCGGCCCGTCCGTCGCGGGTGTGCGGGGCCCAACCTCCGGGCGGGGCCTCGCGGAGGGGGCGTGGCCCCCAGGAGGGAGGGGCGCGATGGAGGGGAGGGGCTCTGTCGGGGCGGGGCCCAGGAGGGGCGGGGCCATCTGGGCAGGGACCTGGGCTCTTTGGCCGGACGGAAGACCCTCTGCGGCTTTTCAGAGTAACTGCCCCGGGGGCAGAGGGTGTGGAGCCGAACGCGGGGACAGTCTGCTCCGGATCGCGTCCTTAGCCCCCCCCCCCCCCCCCCCCCCCCCCCCCCC